GTAATATTTGTGTGTATTATATAGTAAATGCTTTTACAAAATAAAATAATTGCCTTTTTTAAAAATGTAAAGTTTGGACTGAGATAAAATAAGAGAGAATTTAATGTCAAAAAAGCTGCACGTGTAATCAAAATGATTTTGGAGAGCCAATTTAGTTTCTATGCGTTCCGATAATGTTATAGTGTACAGAAAAAGAGACACACACACACACACACACACACACACACACTGACCAGGTGACTGGTTCCTCTGAAGCTTTCCTTGGTGAATTTGGCTGTGTATTCTGTCTCTCTGATGTTAAACGGGTCAATCAGCGCTTGGGTTTCACATTGAACATCACTCCGCTGTCTCACACACACACACACACACACACACACACACACACACACATCAACAGCGACAACTTCAGATATAAATAAATCAATTTATAAATGTAATGACGTTCATGTATAACCGGTCTGATCAGTCTGATACTGTGCTCATTTACTCATGAAAATGTTAAAGCAAACAAAGCAAACTGAAAACAAGAGAAAAAAATACTATGGCATCCTGCAATACAGGTGATAAAGCGGCTTCATGGTGTTTAAACAGCGTATTTAACAGAGAGTGTGAGGACGGACAACTCTGAGCGCGCAGAGCCGTATCAGCGAGTGTGATCATTAAAAATGAACGCAGTGTGCTGTGGATTGTGCACACAAAGGTACTGAAGAGCGTGGAGCAGTGTCATGAGTGTGCCGAGAAACTGTCGCATGTGAGAGCACTTCAGTTCAGCGAGCACTAAGCACGATAATAACCACGCCCGCTGATACTGCTGCACGCTCTCAGGTCGGCCGTGCTCACTGCTCTCTATTAAACACACCGTTTAAACACCATAATTTAAATATAAAACTCAACACCAGGACTTAAACAGAGAGAAATAAAATATTCCATGATGCCTCTGATTGATTGATTGCTTGATTGATACTAAGTCGGTTACTCATCTCAGCTTCAATGTTGGTAATGGTATGATGTTGGTAATGGTATGATGTTGGTAATGGTATTGACGCAGCCCCAGTTCTTACTAGTAAAAAACTGTTTAAACAACACTATTTCATACGGCTGAAAATAGCCCCACCTTTCAGTCATGTTATAGACACGCCCCAAACAAACATGGTGGAACTCAGATAATTTGCAAAAATGTAAAAGTGCAACGAAGCCAAAGAAATAAAAATAGTAACTCTGGGAGATGCTGAAGAGGATGAAGTTCGACACTGAATTAGCTCCATTTCTTCTGGACAGGTAAAGTTAATGTTAATGCAATCTTTACTGTTATAAACTGTTTAATTAATGACCACAGCAACAAATCAGTGAGTTATTTATGCGTGTTTATGCCGAGCTTTGTCGTAGCTGGCACGTTCTCAAGGTAGAATGCGACCAACAATACAGCATGATATGAGGTAATGCAACTTCTTCTAGACTGTAACGAAACTCTGACTGACTGCGACTAGACGATACGAAATGACCTTGATGAACACGTTCTCACCGGTGTGCCCTCGACTGAGGTTATATACAGCAGCTGATTCCCTGATTTCGTACTGATGGGCAGCGACACATTGAGGTAAACAAGACTGACTGGAAAAACTGCTCCGGAAACCTACAGCGGAGAAAAATACACCACAATATACAGTATACCTGTATTAACACCCGTAGATTCTGTACATCTTCATTACAGAAAAATGGAAAAGGGCATCTTATTCTGTTTTAGCTGAAATATCCAGGAGGCTAACAAGCTTCACTGGTGAACAGAAGCAGTTCAAATACTCCTTATAAAATAACACTAGGTAAAAGGATAATTCAGGCTAATATGAATGCACAAAACTGTAAAGTCTGTAAATGGTGTTAATTATTCATCTTTGGTTTAAAGCCATACAACAACAGAACTGTATGAAAACATGCTTTTTGTAAACAATTAAACACTCAGGGTCATACAGTTACAGGAAAATAATCAGCGACATGCTGGTGTGATTAAGCGGCGTTACGGTTACCACCCTGAAGCTGATTGTTTTCTTTTATGCCATATATTTATATGATCGTTTCTATAGTAACTACTACTTGTAGAGACTTGTCTGGTGGATGTGCTGCATAATGTAAGGAGATGTTTATGCAACATTTATGGAAGGAGTCTCCAGTGTCAGTGCTTGGTAACAGTTAGAGGTACAGCTGTAACTTTAAGCTGTCTGACATCTTTGAGAGTTTATACTTTGCGGCTTCTTGTTAACTAATTCATTAACTTCTGCACAGTTTACTCTCAGCCCGATTATGAATTAGGCAAAACTTTATGAGGGAAATTTTTTTGGCAAAATAGCAAAAAAAAAAAAAAAAACACCGACCTTGAGAGTGAACTTGAACTCCGGGCCGATGTCGCTGTACGTCTTTATCGGGTTTGTAATTTCATCCTTTTCGTCAAGCAAGTAAACATTCAAGTTGGCTTCTCTGTTAAAAGGTCAGACAGGATTCCAGTTTTCAATCATTTTCAATAAACCATCACTTCTCAGTTGACTTTGTCTGAAAGCGGACGAAGTTTCGGAGTTTTCTGTTTTGCCGCTGATGTTTGGAATTCAGCAGTGTGTCAGTGTGTTTATAATCAGACCTGCTGAGGATGATCTCTGTCCTGTACTGGACGGGGATCATCACCGTCTCGCTGTTATCCGCTGGAGTTTCCTCTGCACTGTCACTGCAAACAACATGAAGAATATCATCAGCGGCACGGTTCATCATTTCCGTCATCGTTTCATGGTCTGGGCAATGTGTTTTATTTCTTACCTCTGGGCTTCGAAAACCACTTTGACTTCCTTTTGTAATTGTGCCAAATTAAAGTCAAAATTAATCTCGAATGTTACCTGAAACAAAGTGATGCAACACTCATTATTATTATTATTATTATTATTATAATAATACTCAACAGAGCAACAAAACAGAACAACCGCAATCATCTCAACAACAGCCACACACATACCAATAACCATAACAATCATAACAACCACAACTACAATCATCCCAACAGTAATCCCAATGGCAACCATAACGACCACAATCATCACATCAACCACAACTACTAAACACAACAATCATCATAGCCACAATCACCAAAAAGCACATCAGCCACAATACCCGCAACTACCACCACCACCACCACCACAAAAACAATAACCAAAGCAATAACCAAAACAGCCATAACTACAACCCCTTCTGTTTTCTGTATTCATATAGAAATATGTCCATTCAGCCATAAAGAATTATTCATAAACACGCTCGATCACTATGGAGACCTTTAGTATGTATTATGATTTATTTTTTGTTTGCTTAATTTTTTCAACTCTGTTTTAATTGTTTCAAATGAACCCTTTATTCGACAAGAACACACATTTTACATTTTCAGTGGCACAGTTTGAGCCTAAGAACACAAAACGTTCTCTCTATATATATTACATGCTGTAGTTTAATTGCATGAGCTTTGGCACAGGCTCAGGGAGGTGCTGGTTCAAACCCTAGTTAGGTCTCAGGGGTATGAGTGCTGAAGGTCTGAGTGGAATGTGGACTGGAGCCTTCAGGGTGAGTCTGGACAATGTCCTCATAGACTATGGTGCCATGAAGTGTCAGGGTTTACAAAGTCTAAATGTTGAGGTATTATGTCCTGGAATGTCTTCTAAAAATTATTTTTATTGCTCTGGCTTCTAAAGACAATTCATGTATTTTTTTTTTTTTTGACAAGGTTTTAAAAGAATTATTCTGTCAGATTCCATCTGAACATAATTTACTCAGAATGGTTTCTTCCTGGAATCTACTGTAATGATGGAATGTTGACTGCTTTACATAACTGCTATCTAGCAAAGTAATATAAACAAATGTTTTGAACAAAATAGATAATAAAGTGGGAAGGATGATAACTGGGTGCTACTGACCGCTAAGATGATTTAGCTAATTATATGCTGAGTGCTCAAATCAGCTACTTATGTCTAGACCAAACACTGGTAAGCCTAATATTACATACCCTCTATTTGTGGTGCAGTGGTTAGTGTTGTGGTTTTAGCAGGTAGCGGTTGTTGGGTCAAGACCTGGACAGGGGTTTCTAGATCTATATATGTAAATAAATACTGTGTATAGAATAACTATTACTACTAATTAACCAAAGAAAGACCTATAAATAAGTCCGTCTGTCTATTCTTGGCTTTGAAATAGTTCAACAAAAAATGTGAGAAGCCAAACGTGTACAAAGGCAACCATTTTAAACAGTTCCCGGAAGGCACACAGGTACAGCGCACCAAACCCTCCAGCAGTGTGTTGGTTAGACGTGCTCTCATCACTACACCTCCTGTTACCGAGAGAGATGGGAAATCGATGAACGTTGAATCTCAACCATCTCCTCTTCCACTAAACATTTCACTGTCAGTTCTCAACTCGCACTGTTGGGCCATTTATTGAGCCAAAGGTCCAATAAGCACTTCTCCTACTGCTTCTGCTGTGGTGGAGTAGATAGCATCACCGTTCCTGCTGTTTGACAGCCTTGGTTCAAGTCTGTGCTTTTGCTTAAGCTTCAGGGCAGGATTAAGTGTACAAAAGTAAAAAGGTCTATAAAAGAACCTGTCAGCATGAGGTTCTGTGGCTCAATTGGATGAGCGTAGCCTCTGGGTTGAGAGGTTGCTGGTTCAAACCCCAGCCAGGGCTCCAGGATATGATGTGCAGGTGGTTGTGGAAGGAACTGGAGAGTGGGGTGGGGTGTGGTGTGGTGTGGTGTGGTGTGAGAGGAGGGGGGGTAATATCTGGGCAACTGCCCCCCCCCCAGGGCCTGGGCAGATGAATAAAGGGGATTATGGTGCATAAAGAGAGAGTGTTAACTTAGTTTTGCATATATAGGTGCCACTGGAAAACCTATCACCCTCACTTTTTCTGGGGCCTTCAAGCACCATTTTCTTCAGCCACTCTTTTTCCACAACCACTTCACCTCTTCTCACATATCACTCAGCACACAAGCTGGGTTTGAACCAGCAACCTTTGCGGGTAAAGGCAAGGCTATTACCACAGAGCCACCAAGGCTCACATGAAGGCAGTGGTGTTTGTAGGACTTTTGTCTTTTAAAGCGACAACCACGACAATAAAAAAAAATTACAAAAATATCTGTGTTTAAAACTTGACTGCTCAGTAACAAGAAGTAGGCACCAATACCAGTGTGTGTGACAAACATCGTAGACAGGGGATGCTTGTACACTGTGTAAAAATATTCACCCCCGTTGCCACAAAACCCCTACATTAGTTATTCTGGAAAGAGACTTGGTTTACAGCGTCACATTTTCATCTTGCTAACGAACAATTCCACATCATTGTCACATTTGCATCTGTGCTGCAAGTTAAATGCTCCAAACTTCTTGGTGTGCACATCTCTCCTGGACTCTCAACACCTCCTTGCATGGCCAAGAAAGCACGGCAGCATCTCCACTCCCTGCGGAGGTTCAAGAGAGTCAGCCTCCCCCTCCCATCCTCACCTCCTTCTACAGAGGGGCAGTAGAGAGCGTCCCGACCGGCCGGCTCAGTGTTTGGTCTGGGAACTGCACCGTCTCAGAGCGCAACATCCTACGGTGGATTGTGAGGACAGCTGAGAAGATCATTGTGGTCTCTCTACCTATATCGACACCTCTTACCACAATCGCTGTGTGTCTGAGGCCACCAGCATTCTGGACGAACCCTCCCATCCCTTTCATGGACTCCATCCATCCTACCACCACCAGACTCCGCAACAGCTTCATCCCTGACGTGGTCGGAATACTCAACACCCTGCTGCCTTCCAGTGCTCACCTGGACTAATCAAACCATTCCCAAAACAGAGACCTGCGCTTTATAATAATGCTGCTGCTCTGGGACACTCGATACTGCTGCTTCAGTTCTCTTCATAGTCAACACTTTACAGTAAAATTGTTTGCACTGGTTCACATATATACATCACCATCCCATTTATTGTATACTGCGTACTGTGGTACTGTATCGCTATGTGTTGCACCGTGGTCCTGGGAAATGACTGTGGAAAACAATGTTTACCAGCTATATAGAGTAATGACAATAAAAACCCATTTATCTCGACTTAACTGGAGATAATGGCCCTGAGTTTATTACTCTATGTTGCCCCCTAGTGGAATTACAGAGGTTACTTCTTTTACTGAATCTTTAAATTAATAACAATAATTATAATAAAAAAAAAGCCTTCATGCATGTACAAAGAAATATTGAATTATACATCTTATTTTCAAGGTTTTACTCAATGTTTTTAATTTTTCTTTTTGCTTCCTTCAGTCCCTTCTGCTTGGATTCTTGTGTCTTTTCTTTTTATAACTCAAGGGAACTGTAAATAAGAAAGTGCCTCCTAAATGCCTCACACAGATGTCATTATTATTTACACGTGTGTGTTTAGTGAGTCAGGAAGTCTCACCGACTGGTCAGTCCTGAGTGCTGGATATCCCACTTGACACGTGACCGTTTCGGTATCCTTAATGGAGGTGCATTTGACCTCGGTACCATCGCTCTGGGGAAAAAAAACAAAACAAAACAAAACGCAGAACATTTCAGCAGAAAAAGGTGCTTGGGAAATAAAATCCAGCAGTAATTGTTATAGCCTGGTGAGAGCATGAGGTCCGCTCAGATTAACCCTACGCTAAAACACGGATGTTGAAAAGGGGTCAGACGTACAGACGGCGTAACGGAGGAGTAGAACAGGTTGCTGGAGTAGCGTGCGATCACTCTGGTGTTGTACGCATTTTCCTTCCTGTTCATCACCGTCACGGTCAGCGACAGCCTTCTGCTCTTATGACTCACCAGCAACGAGGAGCTACAAAGGCGGAGAAATGAGAATTCATTAACTAGAAGTTCCATAACAGCAGATTGAACAGACACAACGTGACAGTGTGAAGCCCTGCAGCTGGACCTTATTATTCAGGCACGACGCCATGAAGTCTGCAACACAACTCCATCATTCTCAAGTTCTCACTTGAAATGGGTGTGTCCAAAAAAAGTCTGTTAGTCTTAGAGTCGACTTCAAAATTATTGGCACCAGCAAAAGAAAGGGAGAGAAAGAAGAAAGGCGATTGCAAAAACCAAAGAGGCAATGATTCAAAGTAAGGACGCTTGCACGCTCTTTTCGGTTGTCCGTCTTGGGCTCTGTAAAGGTTCTATGTAGAACGATGTGGTTCTATTATAAAACAGATCGAATCTGTTCTATAAATCTATTATACAGCGGACGGCATCTGTCCTTAAATCTGATTGGCTGAGCAGCGTTCAAAGACGCATCGTAGTAATTGAATTCTGATTAACGCGCCAGATTTTAAACCAAAAAAAATCCATTACACTACAGCCATTGTTCTGTCCTACGAGTACCCCAATCTTTATCTGTGATGTTGCTTAGCAACCAAAGCTTACTCTTAACAGACTACATTGTATAGACGAAGTTTTTATAGTTTACTGTGACTATTATTACTGGTGATAAAATAATAAAAAAAATATTGCTTCTGTCACTGTGTTATAAAAACAATAAGTCACTTAAGAACTATAATTTTTTTTTATTAGATTGTTTTAAAACAAATAAGACATTTAAGCTTGAAATTAAAATTGTTTTATTCTGTTGTCAGATAATTTTACTTCTTTCAAGCAATGTTTCAATATTTGCCAATAGAATGACAATTTTAAGCTTGTAAAATGCAAGCATAAGTAAATATGTCTAGAAATAGACTTAATGGTCTTATATTTATTATATAATAATCTCATAATGAGAAATATTAGGTAACCTTTCATTTATTCGAGAGATCTTCGCTATAATTTTCCGCAGTGCACCTGTGTATTTAACATTTCATCTAAATAAAGGTATTAATATTTCTTTTATACAGCGACCTTGAGCGTCAGAAAGGTGTAATATAAATGAAGTGGATTCTTACGATTATAATTTTAAATGTTTAAAAGATTATTATTACTGTTATAAAAGACAACGCCGTCAAACCCCCAGTGAAGCTGAGGAGCCGGTTTAGCACTGATGCTCCAGGGACTCTGAATTCTGAATTCCACTAAGTACCATAATATTACAGCTTAAAACCCAGGTTGCATCTACCAGGAGGTTAAGACTTCAGGCTGGAGATGGATAAACAAGATTTCCAAACCAACACAAAAACGATGGCTGAACACAAACTCATTGTTTTGCGATGACTACTTCAGACTTTCAGACTCTGAACCCTGCTGAACTTCTGTGGTGTAAAATCCTCAGAAGTGGGAAGTTTTTTCGAGTTTTCAAGTAGGGAATAAACATGGACGCTTCCATGCTCGGCTTTTGTTAGCAAAAACCGTGTTAATGTTTTAGATTTAACAAGCGAACATGTCTGTATGCTGATTTAAAGCAAGTGCTTGTATATACAGTATAAGTCTTTTAAAAATAAAGACGTCCTACTTTGTTTATTGTTGGTGCTGTGAGAAGCTGATTTTTGACGTGACGTGTTGATCTCGGGGTTGAGGAGACGTTCTTGGCTTTTTTTTTTTTTGACGAGATTTTGTTTTTTTCCTGTTGTTTTCTTAGTTTTCTCTTAGAGATCCAAGTTGGGAGTTGTAGTCAAAGGCAGCATTAACGCGCGTGAATCTAACGGAGAACGTAATGGAGCTTCAAAAGTGTCTCTAATCTTAGAAATTACAGGCTTCACCAGGTGCTAGACGTGGGGGTGCCAATAATTTTGCAACCAGCGCTTAGCGGCAATATTACACTACTTAAGAAAAGTTACGTTTTCAAATACTGCGTTAATGATCCACACCTCAAAATACCACTTTTTTTTATCACATTATATTTTATTACATTTATATTGTTTTTGTTGATTTTCATGAAGGGTGCCAATAATTCTGGAGTTGAGTGTAGTTGATACACTGACACACGGGTTTAATTACCATCTTGCGAGTGTTTATGAGGGGCCGACATGGCTATTGGGAACAAAGACACAGTTCTGGTCTGCACCACGGAGACGGAAACGGACAAACCATTTGCAAAAGCGCTTAAACGGCATCTGACATTTTACAGGCAGCTTTTCTGGGAAGCGTTGGTGTGTAGTGTGTTAGTAAATGAACTTAACATCCTCATCAGAACAAAAAAAAACAAAAAAAATTACGAGTAAAACACTTCCAGAGACGAATGCAGAACAGGACGTGAAGGGGTGAGTGAAGTCGTGGACTGAAGCGCAGGCGCAGAGAGACAGGTTTAGAGTTTTGGACTCGTTACACTGTATGACCTTTGACCTTTGGGACCAGGATTACACGATGATAATCATTTCACACTGTCACAGTGCTGCTACTAGAACCAGTACTGGTACAGGGAACCATGACACCTTTTAAAGAACGGACGTGGAAGACTTTAGAGAATTGTAAATCCTTTTTAAATACAATTTCGCACCCAAAATAAGCGATATACACACATTACTTTTAGCGATTTATATATATATATATATATATATAGATATTTATAGAGTTTCATGCCTTCAGAACTCCAGCATTTTTTTTTTCATGCCAGAAACAAACGAACAAAAAAAGAACAGAAAAGAATTGGAAAAATGTGTGTGTGTTTGGGTAAAGAGTTAGCTAAATGCTTAAAAGGTATTTGTATACGATATAATTATTAGACATGATATACCGTATATTCCGGTCAGCCCTAACATTAGGAACACCTGACTAATATTGTGTAGGTCCACCATTCCCACGGACTCCACAAGACCTCTGAAGGTGTGCTGTGGTATCTAGCAGCAGGTTCTTTAAGTCGCGAGGTGGGGACAGATGCTCGATCAGATTGAGATCTGGGGAGTTTGGAGGCCAAGTCAACACCTTGAACTCTCTTTCATGTTCCTCAAATCATTCCTGAACAATTTTTGCAGTGTCTCAGGGCGCATTATCCTTCTGAAAGAGGCCACTGCCATTAGAGAGTACTGTTGCCATGAAGGGGTGTAACCTGATCTTCAACAACGTTTAGGTAGGTGCTACGTGTCAAAGTAACATGCACATGAATTCCAGGACCCGAGGTTTCCCAGCAGAAC